AATCAAAACTAATTAGAGTACCAAGTCGACCTAGCAGAGAATGCCCACAAGGGGGAGTTCAAGAAGTGTTAGATACTTAAACAGCCTGCCCTCTAGTGTTAGTTTAAGGTACTGTGCCTTAACTCCACTCGTGCTTAAACTGATCGCGTTTAGTGTGAGACTACTCTCATTCTAACGGAATTTACTGCAGCTATCACAAGAACACTGAGACACAAATTCCAACAGATTCTTACAGTTTGTGCAACTTAACTGCTTAATGATGTGTAACAGGATTTCTTCGCTGCCAGTACACAATTACAAATTTTGAACAACAGGGTTTCTTCACTGTTGTTATGCAAATTTCACTTGATCAAGATTTTAAAAGCTCCCATTTACATTTCAATCAGTTTACTGGTTCGCAGTGTTCTTATGATCAGATCTGCATTAGGCACGCATTAGATAGCTACTCTAATGGTTAAACCTAAGGGAGTGAGATCGTCTAGTTGAATGAAATTGGAATACGCAATGACTTCAATCTAGCGATACAATCAGATAAGGCCTTTAAAGGCCATTTCGCTCAAATCAATCTTTAATCGCAATGCAGGAAGATTTCTTAGTTCCAACAGGCGATTTTGATAATATTAAAATGTACTGTAAAGAGATTTCTTCGTCTTTAGAGAACAATTTTAATATTATGAACTGCAGTTTACTTTAAAAATTAACAGTGACTAAATGTTAGACAAATAGAGGATGTAAAAATACAGTACTGGAGGTGGCTTTGAACCATCCAATCAAAAGAGTGAGTTCACGCTGCGACTTGTCTCACTCTAAGCGTGCATAATATAAAAGCACAAATAAATTGATACTGAGTTTGCTCACAAACCAAGTTTGAATGTGCCCGTATTCTCCACCAAATCTGTAGTAAATCAGCTCAAAAGGGAAATATTTATGACTAATTATAACTGGTTATAATTAATAATAAATATTTAGATTAGATCTTAGAATTAACTCTAGCAGAATCAATATTACAATTATTTGATCTGTTCGTCCACCGAGCAGACAGTATAATCCACTGACTTCAAATTGTGAGCAGCAATCAGAGGAAATCAGTTGTGAATATAAGGGATTTAATAAATGAAGCTATATCTAACATATAACTAACTAAGCAAAACACATATATACAGAATGAAGCAAAGTAAGGAAAAGAGAGAGGAAAGTAAAAGAATGGCAGTATTTGACATCAGTTTTAAACACATTGCATTGGCTTTGATTGCTGAACAAGAGTCCTGATGTGGTAGACAACGGAGGTCTTTGATGAGTTCTTTAGGAGTGAGCTGGAAGTTTACTTTTGGTTCTTCTGAAGGTAGGAAAGTCCACAGCGAATCGAAGTTACTTGAAGATAAAAACTGCTGAAAAACAAACTCAAGAGGAGAGTCTTGAGAGTCTTAGTGTGTCGTCCCAAAAGAAGAGGTTTTTCTGAGCAAAGATCATTTCGGGCTAATGACTTTTGAGGGTTCCTATTCACCCCCATCTTTGGGTGGAATAGCCAATACCAGGCTTGAATTTTTTTAGCGGGAGAAGTTTCCTTTGTCTCCCTTCATGGCCCATTTGCAAGTTTTATGGCCGGTCTGGAATTGGTGCAGTTTTAACCCAAAATATAGTACAAATCGTATGATACGTTTCACAATCACATACTGTACATCATTGTTTGAGGAACAAAGAGCAGATAATATTGATACCAAGAAAAAAACATTTAGAATATATTAAACCAGAGATACATCCATACAGCTGAATATCAGCGTTTAGGGCTTAATTAATACAAATAATGACTGGTAACTCAGCTAATCTAATAGGGAAACGTACAAACAACATATGCAATATACCAGATATATTTGTAACTGATTCATTATTGTCTAAATAGAGTAAAGGTCTTTACGTGTGTGTGTTTGTGTTATGTGAGCCTGTTGTAGTTTGCTGGTCAGCCAGGCCCATCGGCGCCTGGCACCGGGGGTGGGGGGGGGGGGAAATTTATTGAGTGGGGGCGAGGTGGTGGTAATCCACTTGTCTTTGGAAACAGACGTGTTTGAAGTCAGATGGGGAGATGCGAGTGGTGGAGCTGTTCAACATCTCCTTGATAGTGAGAGGAACTTGGCATTTGGCAATTTAGCCCCTATATAAATGTAATGTCTGTGACCAGGACTGTAATTTATATGCAAATGTCAAAGGCTAAAAGGGGTCTCTTAAGCCATAAACCCCAAAGACCATGCATGACTCTACGCAGACGCTACAACTGCTAGGTGGTTGTCCTGCATCTTCAATAAACAAGCTACAAGCAATTTTGCTTGGTTGGAACCGCAGCTACACTAATTATGTCTCTATTTGTTTAGAGTTACACAAGCTTCAGTCTGGATCCAGAACACCTGAAAAGAGATGATGCCAACCCTGAAACTACATACAGAACTACCAAATTTTGCTATAAGTTTAATTGCATCATATAATAATTGCTGTTAATAGTGTTCATCGTCTGTTTGATTACGTCTTTAATTGATTTTTCCGTACATTTCTGACATATGTACATTAACTGACAGTCACCACTGATAAGCTACCACTAAATATTGTAGAAACTTAATTTGCTGTAAATTTGCTTTGCAACGATTTGTATGGTGAAAAGCGCTATACAAATAAACTTGAATTGAATTATATGGAATGCCAATCCTGCCATAATTAGAAATAAATTAATAAATGTTCAGAGAAAAGTAAAAAAGCAAAAATTAATAATTGTTTATAATTTTATTTCCTTATTTATGTTTTTTTCCTCCATTTTTTCCACATTTATTTATTTAAGCCTCCAGAGCAGGCTAACATCCAAACTAAGATTAATCCTAGTGATTTATCTGTTAGTTCCGCTGTCAATCCTACTATAAATTAATGTGTTTACAGTCACTCCATGGTCTTCTGTAAATATGTTGCATCATTTTAATTATTCTGCATTAAAATAAGTATGCCTATTTTAGTGTTATTATGAAGACTGTTCATATTGCTGTCAGAGGTTTGATGAATACATGTAACGATTTCAGTCCACTGAAGGCGAGCGTAGTGAAGAACCCAAGTGCAGTTTATTTACAGTGTGATCCAAACATCCAATCTGTGACTTCACTTGACATGAACAGACTTGACTTGACATGAACAGACTTGACTTGACTTGACTAGGCATGAACAGATTTGACGAGGCATGAACAGACTTGACGAGGCATGAACAGACTAGACTCACCGACAGCGGGTTACAACATCAATACGGCTTAAGTCCGATTAAGGTGTTTCCTCTTAACGATGGCGTGCCCTTTGTTGGATGATGTACTAAACGAGGAAGTGTTAATACTCAGACGAGCATTCAGGCATGAAAGAGTCTTTCTAGGAGACAAAGGCTATGCCTGTGAGACATTCCTGTTGACCCCCCTTGCAGACCCCCAAACTCCAGCACAGCAGGCTTACAACCATGCCCATGCCAGAACGAGGGCTCGAATCGAAATGACCTTCGGCCTCCTGAAATCACGATTTCAGTGCCTGCACCACCTGAGGGTCTCCCCAGACAGGGCCTGTGACGTGACTGTTTCCTGCACAGTGCTGCACAATATTGCCAGCCTAAGAAAAGAAAGGGCTCCCAGAGTTGCTTTGGATATTGTCTGGGACAATGCTGCCATCTTCCCAGATAACATAAACAGTAGACTGTTCAGAGAACAAATTATTTCAGTTCATTTTGTTTTGATTTCGCCTATCCTTTAATAAAGCATAATGTATGTCACTCTTTCATGTGTGCATGCATTTTGTTTGACATTAGTAGCACACACTGTGTGGTTATCTTCCCAAATTCTAGTTCCAATTCACTGGATCAGTAACTGTGTACTGGACATTAATGAAAAAGGTACGAGACCACAATGTTTTTGTATTTTAAATTTTTTTATTTTGCTGTCATCACTTGTCAGCTTGGAGCTATTGAGAGAAAAAATAACAATGATTAATACATTGTGCAGTCATGGTTGCAGTGTGAACTGAAATCACTTACTTCTCTCTCTAGTTTCTGGATTTCCAAGTCCAGTTTCCTCAGTGTCTTGCGTTTAATTTCCATCTCAAGGTTCATGTCCTGCAGCTTTTTCTTGTTCACTTCGATCTTGCCCTCTGCCAGCTCTATCTGTCTCTTAAGATGCATTGTGTAGAGACTTCTGACAGTTTGTGAATTCTCTAAAACACCTATCAATTAGCACAGCGGGATTTGTGCATAATGTAGGTTTACTTTAGGCAATACTCACTATGTTACCAGGCTGCTTATCAGGCTGCACAGTGTCTGGATCCTGTTCAAAATATATGTTCTATTAGAATCACATTGCTGACTACTTATCAATTATGAACAAAAAATTTACACAAAATTGACATGACACCTCAAGCCTTCTGGAGTCCAGCGACACCGTCTCATCATCGGCAGAAGTGCACTCCACTGCAGCAGAAGTGCCTTCCCTCTGCCATATTCAATAGAACTCGTATTGATAGTTTTGACAGGATGTGCCAAGCCTATGATTTTAATAAAGAGTACTCATCGGCGGATCATAGTCTGGTGGCTCCAGAAGTGTAAGTGTGTTACCAGACACTGCGAGGTAAGGCAAAGTCAGACAGTCCACATAACAAAATCTAAATATTTGATTGTTTTCCATATGCAGTAGAATGGCAATAATGTACCTTGTATGAAAAGGCCAGTTTCTCTTGCTGGGCCAGAGTCAGTGGCTGTCCTTCCCTGGATCACTTCCATCACTGGCTTCCCTTTATTCAACTCCAGGGCCAGCTCCTCTGCTGTGGTGAGGCCGACCCCCCCCCCCCCATCCTTGTCCTTAATCTTGCCTTTCTGCCAGGTCCTTTTTTGTCCAGACATGGTTGTTCTTTTGGATGGATGGATGCGCATAGTGGATAAGTGTTTGCAATTAATCATACATGTGTTTGCATGAGTAGCATGCATGTCCACTTTTCACATTTAAGGCAAAATTTACAACTGTTAATTTGTGGAAATTACAAATAACTCCTTGAATTGTAATTATGATGGCTTCAGTGGTTGCATGAGTAACATGCATGTCCACTGGTCACATTTAAGGCAAAGTTTACAACTGTTAATTTTTGGAAATTACAAATAACTCTAAAATTGTAATTATGATGGCTTCAGTGGAGCACTGGTTATTTAGACTACTTACACATTCAATCGGTCCGCTATTGTCTGCCAGGCCTTTTCTCTTTGTTTTATTATAGCAGCTGTATTTCCCTTTTTATAAATTATATGTTTCACCTTTTCATATGTTTCCATTAGAAGCTGTTGCTCAGTTGGCGAGAAGTATGCCGCACGGGTTTTATCCATTTTTGCATCATTGATTCTGTGATCAATCCCGTGGTCTGTTTAAGAATGCCGTGAATGTGCACTTATCCCAACTATCTACACCTGGCTTGACATAGCTGCACGTTCTCATCCTGGCTCAGCAAACGTGCAATGGACTAAGCCAGGATGCGCTGATTAAACTAGGTCAAGCCGCGCCTTTTCTGTTATCCTGGCTTTCTTAATTCTACTTTTGAGCAATGCCCCTCTGGCCTTTGTCAGTCATGGCCTCCTAATAATCCCCATCCACTTGATTGGCTCTATGGCTGCATCCGAAACCGCCTACTTCTCTACTATATAGTAGGCGAAAAGCAGTAGGCAAGCGAATAAGTATGTCCGAAACCTCAGTATTCATAAAAGAGTAGGCGAGAATTACCTGGGTGACGAACTAATTCTCATGAGATTTGGACACGCGTCTACTTAAAGTGCATCCGAAACCACCTATTTCTCTACTATATAGTAGGGGAAAAGCAGTAGCCGAGCGAATAAGTATGTCCGAAACCTCAGTATTCATAAAAGAGTAGTCGAGAAGTTCCCGGATGTCCTACTGCTTCTGCCCAGCTTCTTGAGTGCTTGCCGATGAATACTTTTCTATCCCAGGAGGCCACGCGAGAGGATACATTATAAAGAAGAAGAAAAAGAAGAGGATGCGTCATAATCGAGCATGGCAGAACATTTGGATGAGGGTGTTTACAAATGTAAGTATTACAAACCAAAAACAGGTTCCTTATTTTAAATGTGCATTTGTTGAACTACTTTAGAGCAAATTGTTGAAAGTGTAAAGATGCTAAATGGTATAGTATAGATGTGATGTTGCTGTAAAAACATGTTTTATTAGGTATAGCTAAGAGGGGGGCTCCAGGATGCAAACGTACATCTCCAAAGCAGATTTACATACATTTGAAACCATATACATCTTAAATACGATTACTAAATGTCTATTTAATATCTGGTAGGAAAATCTTCTATATGAATTTCATATAAGTTACTTGTGTCTAATAGGTCCTAGATATGAAGTAGACATCTGAGTGATGTATATGTGTGTTATTGTGTAGTACAATTCACTGTTGTCAGCATTGTTTGTAATATATGAATGTAAGTAATGTAAATACATTTCCATAAAGTAACTAAATATAAGTAATCTATTTTATTTGTCCATTAGTACTGTTGAAAAATTTAGGAACATTTGTTTTGGATAAAAAGCTATATTTAATATCTGGTAGGAAAATCTTCTATATGAATTTCATATAAGTTACTTGTGTCTAATAGGTCCTAGATATGAAGTAGACATCTGAGTGATGTATATGTGTGTTATTGTGTAGTACAATTCACTGTTGTCAGCATTGTTTGTAATATATGAATGTAAGTAATGTAAATACATTTCCATAAAGTAACTAAATATAAGTAATCTATTTTATTTGTCCATTAGTACTGTTGAATAATTGAGGAACATTTGTATTGAATAAAAAGCTACTTAACACTACTTAATACTTTTGAGCAGACAAATCTCAGAGGTAACTTGACTCTTGTCTGGATTTTACAGGGACAGATGAGCACACGTCTGCTTATCCGGCGGAGACAAGAGCGGCTAATGAAGCCCTCTTCACCAGAAAGCGGAATGCTGCCATCAAAGGCTTTGAGTGTGAGTATACTACAGAAATTAATAAAACATCTGTTTAAAGCTTAAGTTGTAGTTTATTTCAATTATTGTAATTTCAAACAGAGTTATCACAGCACTTTTCTGATTCTTGATTCCTGTGCATTTGCTGCAGAGCTTTTGTGGTGGAGCAGGACCTGCAAGGAAAGGTGACGGCAGCATTTGTGGGGGAAAAAAGGGAAAACCTGAAACAAAAAATATAAAGTAAGATCATTCTGTTACTTCTAATACAGAAATCAAATGACATTGTGATGTTAAAATGACTGCTTTTGTATTATATTTGTGCATCTTTGTAGGATCTGAAATGTCCACAGACTGGCGTGAGCAGTGAGGATGGAGGAGTTCACAGCAGCATCCTGGAAATGGTCCAGTGCCATGGATGAGATGCTCCATCACTCCACCTCTTACTGTCTCATCTGGACCGGATGTTGCTGTGGTCTCTTCATCATCAGTGACCCCCAGAGCCAGCGAGAGCATCTAGAGATAGACCAAAAGACAATGAGGATGTGAGTTTGGTCAAGTTTGTCCTGCTGGCTTGTTCATACAACATCAGTCAATGAAACCTGAGTTTCAGAAGCTTTAAAAGCATCATCAAATAATGTCATGAAGCTTCTGAAAGTCAGTCTCCCATCGACTGATATTGTATGAACAGATACAAGCAGGACAAACCAAAATCACCTTTTGTGTTCAGAAAAAAAAAAATACCCCAAGGACTGAACACTGTGGAGGCGAGTAAATAATGACTGAATTTATATGTTTGGATGAACTAACCCT